TGCTCATAAGTCCTCATCTGGGTGTGCCTGCCACCCCTCACACCCAGGTGCACAAGGGCTTGATGTTGACATTGGCACAGTACTGCCTGTAGCACCCAGGCATGTGTGTGAGCAGAGCTGTGTAAGATGCTCTGCTTGCACATCACGCACTGAAACTGGCCTGCCATCACCTGCCTCAAGGCTGGCAGGTGTGCTGGCTACACTGTAGCAGTTGGTGGAAGCCAATGCAGCATAGAAGACTACCACATCATCCACATGGAACAAAAGCCTTGTAAGTTGTTCAAGGTTGGCCATTCAGTAGAATCACAACGATTGAACCCATAAGCCACAACACACAGCACGAGCTGGTGGACTACTCGGTCGGAGGAGAGTGACGACGGCCGCGTCGAGGGGCGTGGGTTGTACCGGTACAGGATGTGGTACCCGGCCTTGATCGCCCGCTTCGCCTCCTCCACCTCGGTCGATATCCCCGCCCTATGACACGACACGACACGCACCGCGCACAACACGCACGACACACACCGCACACGCACACGCACACGCACGCACACACCACCGCACACGCACACGCACGCACACACCACCGCACACGCACACGACGAGCTGTGTACTAAATGTACAACCAATAGGGCAAGCGCGTGGTCGACGTTGCGTGCGGCGAGCACCATGTGTTGTTCATCACGGGCCAAGGCGAGGTCTATTCGCTCGGTACCGGCGTACTGGGCGCCCTCGGGCAAGGCACAACGGTGGACCAGCTCGTGGAGCCCAAGCAGATCTTGGCACTACAAAAGGTGCACCTTCTTCTGCCTTGAGTCTTTCTTTACAGGTTGTTGCTGACGTCATGGTCTGTCACGACACACGGAGTGAGTACGTGTGCGCGTGTTGCGAGTTGGTGAAGAGAGTGAGAGTACTTGATGCCGTGGGCGATGCAGGGCGCGTAGGCGATGACGAGCGAGAGCCCGTCGAAAGCCTCGGCCTCGGCCAGGACCTGCACGGCGTGGTCCGGGTTGGCCTCGAGGCAGATCGACGCCACATAGACGTTGCCGTACTGCATCATCATCGCGCCGAGGTCCTTCTTGGCCGCCGTCTTGCCCGCGTTGGCGAACTTGACCTGCGACGCGCGCGGCGTGGCCTTGGAGGCCTGGCCGCCCGTGTTGGCGTAGACCTCGTTGTCGAGCACCAGCACGTTGACCTTCTCGCCCGAGGCCAGCACGTGATCGAGCCCACCGAAGCCGATGTCGTAGGCCCAGCCGTCGCCGCCGATGATCCACTGCGTCTTGCGAGCGAGCATGTGGCGCTCGGCGTGCAGCTCGCGCAGCGGGCCACGCGCGGCGGCGGCGGGCGCTTGGCCGCCAGGCTCGGGCTCTGCGTGCGGTCGTCGTAGGCGGCGTCCCACCGCCGCAGGAGCTCGGCCAGCACCGGGTGCTCGGCCGCATATGCGCCGGCGGCCAAGTCGCGCTGCACCGCGCGCCGCAGGGCCTCGCGCCGGTACCGCACCGCGTGTCGTATGCCGAAGCCGTACTCGGCCGCGTCCTCGAACAGGGAGTGGCCCCAGGCCGGGCCGCTCGTTGGTCGTGTAGGCGCTCCACGGGAACATGCCGCCCCACACGATCGAGCAGCCGGTCGCGTTGGCGATGTAGAGCTCGTCGCCGAACAACTGCGTGAGCAGCTTCACGACGGGCGTCTCGCCGCAGCCGGCGCACGCGCCGCTGAACTCAAGTCAGGGCTTGGCGAACTGGCTGCCCTTGAGCGACTCCTTGGGGTAGACCTCGCTCCGGATCGGGAGGCGCTCGGCGGCAAAGTCCCACAGGCGGGCCTGGCCGCGGTCGAGCGCGTCGACAAAGGGCACCTGCGCGAGGGACTGCGTGGGGCAGGCCTTGACGCACACGTCGCAGCCGGTGCAGTCGTAGGGCGACACCTGCACCCGGTACTGGTAGCTCTTGCCGGCCTTGCCCACCGCCCTCCGCCCCTCCCACCCCTCTGGCGCCGATCCCGCTGTGTCGCGACA